CCCCCGTTCCGTGCCTTGGAAACGGCCGTGTGAGAACAGAGGCCCCTCCCTCCCGCCCCACGACAGGAAGTAAATCGCTCACCAGCCGGGCTGGGCTCCTCCCCCTCTGGACCCGGGGGCCGGCAGGCGTCTTCGTGGGCCACGCGCTCCAGCGGGGTGAAGGGCATGTAGAGGCCACACCGGGGGCACGTCCAGAAGCTGCGCAGGCACTCCGCGTAGAGGTCCCCCTCGCCCTGCAGGGCACAGACAAGCCCAGAGGGGACTCACTCGCTGTGCATTATGCAGCTCATTCGATGCACAGTAACCAGGGAGGGGGTGTGGGAGAGTGAGTGTGTGTGTGAACTGGAAGGCTTTCGCTAGCCTTTGCTTTGAAGTAACCGGCCTCTTACCACCTCTGGGAGTCTCAGCTTTCGCTGCTCGGACTCATCCTGCACATTGGGGGGAATGGCGTAGTGAGGGGGGTTGCTGGCCGTTGCTTTTGGCGGGTGGAATACTGAGGGGTGGTTGGTTCTGGTCTTTTAGGGTCCCTGCTTGAACCTTGTACATCTATTGCCTTCGCGCCTTTAACCTCAGTTCCAACACAGCCAGTGTACAGGCTGGATCCTATCGATGTCTCAATAAACCTGTCATTCTCCAGAGTGAATGTTGTTGGGAACTGATTTATACAGGAGTCTCACTCACTGGCCAAGGAGCAGCCCACCCACCCCCCCGACACATGGCCACCCCCCCGTGTGGGGAATGCCGGAGCCCCCACCCCACCCCATACTCACGGCCAGGCAATGGAACGTCAGGAAGCCGCCGACCTTGTAGCCCCCCTTCACCTCGTCAGGCACCATCTCCATCCCCTGGAACAGGCTAGGGGGGCCCACCGCAGTCGCCACCGTGGGCCCCACGTACAGGTGCTGCTGCTCCAGCGGGGTCAGCCGACGCAGGCCGTACTGCACCTGGCAAGACGAGATGCCACAGCAAGTGAGCCCCTGTCCACCTCCACCCCCCCCCCCGCACGGAAGGAAGGAAGGGAGGGAGGGGAGGGGAGAGGGGGAGGGGAGAGGGGGAGGGAGGAAGGAAGGAAGGAAGCGCACCTCTGTCTGCAGGAAGGTCAGCAGCTCCCGGGTGAGCTGGCCCACCTGGCGGGAGCTGGGCCCGCGCTCAGCGGCTCCCTCTGCCTGGCTCCCGAGGCCCCTCCTCCGGCAGGCCAGCTGCTGCCCCAGGACCTCCTCCCAGGAGGCGCGCAGGCGCAGGGCGGTGGAGAGCAGCTGCAGGGCGGCTGCGGGGACTTGCAGCTCCAGCCACGAGTCGGCCACGATGCGCGTGCAGTCTGCGTTGGTGTCCAGGGACCGGGCCAAGAGCAAGAGGGCCTGCGAGGGGGGAGGGAGGGAGGGAGGGAGGGCGGCTGAGACCTGCTTGGGAGCACAGGGCTTGGGGGGGGGAGCCTCAGCCCAAGGGGGGGGGGGCACCACGGGGGCCGCTCCCCTGCCGCTCACCTGCAAGGCGGGCAAGCGCAGGCAGTTGACCAGGTAGGGCTTGTTGGTCTCCAGCAGTGAGACGAAGGCCAGGACCTGGTGGCGGCTGCTCAGGCCGTCCTTTGAGCCTGCGGAGCAAAGAGGCAGCAGCCCTATCTCTCTCTCTCTCTCTCTCTCTCTCTCTCACCTTCCCTCCCAGGAGCTCAGGGACGCTGCATGCCCTTCACTTCCACAACCACCCTGTGAGGCAGCCTGGGCAGAGAGCCAGTGAAGTTTCCTGGCCCACCCCCGAAGGTTCCTGGCGGAGGGAGGACTGGAACCCAGGCCTCCCTGGGTCTCACCTGGCACTCCAACCACCACCCCCCCAGGCGGCCACCGGAGGCACCACCACCATCACGGCCACCAGGCCTCCTGTCTAGGCGAGGGCTGCTCCGTGCCACGCCCTGCTCAGGATCCCGGATGCAGAGAAGAAGCCCTCCTCCCGCCCC